AGATTTCGAAAATAACAATACAGATCACTTTTTCAGTCTCTCTTCTTTTGGAAACCCACTCTTCTGTTTTATAAATGGGGAGATGGCAGTGAAAGCCACTCAGTCATGTCTGACCCTTTTCAACTCCATGGACTACAGCCCGCCAGGCTTCTCTGTCCGTGGGACTCTCCAGGCAAGAATACTGGAGTGGGTAGCTGTTCCCTTCTCCAAGGGATCTTCTCAACCCAGGGATCTAACCCAGGTCTCCCGCACTGCAGGTGGATTCTTTACTATCTGAACCATCAGGGGAGTCCAAGAATACTGGAGTTGGTAGCCTATCCCTTCTCCAGGGGATCTTCCCCACCCAGGAGTTGAACTGGGGTCTCCTGCATTGCAGGTGGATTCTTTACCAGCTGAGCCACCAGGGAAGCCCAGGGGAGATGGTAAATAGAAAGCAAATTTATCTAGTAGATGCCATGGAAATCATGTAGAGATAACAGGAAACAACTTTAAAATGACTTTGAAAGTATCCCTCACCCCCACAGGGAAAGAGAATGAATAAACCTACTCTGGCCAAATAATTACAATGATATATGTGTGAATTTCCATACTGAAATCCAAACAGTCTGTGTTTAGAAACATTCCTCTAAAGATTGTCTTCAGGTACCTTGAAGATACCAAATGGCCCGGGACACATCTTTTCAAGGTCTTGGTACTGAAGGATAGAATGCAAAGCATTAGCCAGAACATCTCAGCCCAGTTCTCCAGCATTTTGAAGCTACCTTTGACGGCTGAATTAAAAGGATAGTGCAGCGGTTAAAGAATGTCTCATTTGCTTCAATAAGCAAACTTGGAGATTATTTACGATTACACAGTCATCAGAAGAATGCGTTCCTGTGCATTCTGAAGACACAAAGCCTCACTTTGAGCCTGACTATTAAGTCCTTGCTGTGAAGGGGTGGCAAGTGTGATTAAGTTGTTAGATTAGCAAGGTTCTACTGCATTTCGCTTTAAGCCAGAGTGCTTTCACAGCTGAGCTGTAATGCTCTGAAAATGCCTGCATAACAAGATCCAGGCGTGGAATTGAATCCCAAATGGTAAACGGCCAACAGCATTTATCCACTATTACGTTGCTGAAGCCATCGAGAGTCAGCACGTCTGAAAAGACACTGCCTAAGCCACGAAGCATAGAGGAAGGCTGTGCTGGGAACAGGCGGTCCTTTCAAAGATCACATACAGGGCTTCCCTGGTGGCTCAGGAGGTAAAGGATCCGCCTGCAAGGCAGGAGACCTGGGTTTGATCCCTGGGTTGGGAAGATCTCCTGGAGAAGGGAAAGGCAACTCACTCCAGTATTCTTGCCTGCAGAATTCCATGGACAGAGGAGCCTGGTGGGCTACAAAGAGTCAGACACGACTGAGTGACCAACACACAGGGTGGGGAGGTAGCTCCATTTTCTAGAGAAAACCAGCATGAACTCCAGTCCCTTCTTAGAAAGCGAGGAGAAAGAATGAAGTTAAATTATCCCACTGATGACTACACGTTACATTCAGCTCCCCGGAGTCCACGCGTGGAAGAGAATTTCAAGGACTCACATTTAGCTTGTTAGCCAGGTGGGATTGCCGCATACTTGAGTAAACACAGGTTTCCCAACAGTCTCTTTCTTAGGGCTTCCCTGGAGGCTCAGCCAGTAAAGAGTCCTCCCGCAATGCGGGAGACCTGGGTTCAGTCCCTGGGTTGGGAAGATGCCCTGGAGAAGGAAAAGGCTACCCACTCCAGTACTCTGGCCTGGAGAATTCCATGGACTGTGTAGTCATAGGGTCTTAAAGAGTCGGACACGACTGAGCGCCTTTCACTTTCACTTAGAAGAATGGAGTGCCCAAATCCTTGAGTTCAGGAGAATTTAAATATCTTAGGGAGGCAGGAAAAGTGATCAAGTTGTAGAAAGATAGAGCAAGGAGAAAACCTAAAGGCACCTTATAGCAGGTAGCTAAGGGAGTGTGAAAAATTATTGGGTTGGCCAAAAAGTTCATTCGGGCTTTTCATTGCATCTTATGGAAAAACTCAAATGAATTTTTTTGGCCAAACCAATACACTACAGAAAATTGCCTTGCAGCTGCCAACTGAAGCTCTAGCTTGCAAACTTGCCTGGATCCATGAATAGGCTGAATCGTGTACAAACTCTGTTTGCTTGACTTGAAGCAGTCTGTGACCTTCATTCCCATGTAACTGATGCGTTTGGCGGTGTGACCCTGGACCCGTGCCCAGCACGACAGATGACCAAAGAGCTGTGAGACCGGGCCTTGGGCTTGGAGAGGCGAGGCGGGGCGTGCTCGCCTGCAGCGCAGGTGGCAGCGTGGGGGGGCGAGGGTTCGGTTCTGACCGAGTTAGGAGGAGCTTGGTGGTTGCAACCCAGCATGGAAGGGCAGCTCTGGCCTTCGCTTTGTCAGTGGCTCATCGAGAGAGTTTCGGGTGGGGCCAGGGGTGCAGAAGCGGCCTGGAGCTGCAATAGCAAGAGTGTTGGGTCTAGAAAGATACATGAAATCTACCCCTGACTCCCTTGGCAGCGTCCAAAGTCAGAGAGAGGGAAGGTATTACTGTTTTCTAGGAGGATGAACAATGACATTTAACTGATTATCTTTGCAGACTTTGGGATATAAGAAGGCGGCGAAACCTTTACCCAGGATCAAAAGTAACTGTCATCGTTTTCACATAATACATACGAGCTCCATGAGTCCTTTCAGCCCTAATGAAGGAAAGTGAAAGTGTCAGTCGCTCAGTTGTGTCCAGCTCTTTGGACTCTTTGCCACCGCAGGGACTGTGGCCCACCAGGCTCCTCTGTCCATGGAATTCTCCAGGCAGGAATGCTGGAGTAGGTTGCTGTTTCTTTCTCCAGGGGATCTGCCTGACCCAGAGATCAAAGCCGGGTCTCCTGAGCCACCAGGAACAAAACATTTTAGTACATTGATGTCCTTAACTATTGCATAGAAATTTTTTTTAATTGAGAAAAATCCAAGTAGAAAAAGTAAGATACATTTTACTTTATAAATGTAATCAGTAAAAATAAGTTTCTTTAAGTTTCTGACTGCATATCTGCGACCACATCCCCTAAGCGTGACTGGGTAGATTTTCACTGGCTTGGAGGGCACATTTGCAATGATGTGACTTGAAATATGGGCTCTGTGGCAAAACTTCCTTGGAGTTGGTCCTGGAGGGCTGCTTCAAAGAGAATGACAGTCATCACTCAGAGACGTGGGAACTGCAAGGTGGGGTGGGGTGGGGTGGGGTGGGGTGTGTGACTGCCAGTGGCCAATGAAGAGACACGCCGTGGGTATTATCTTCGGTCAGATTCTCCCAGAAACAGCCTTGGAAATGCAGATTTCTCTGCAAGGAGCTCTGTAAGGAGCTGCCCCCTGGGGAAGACCAGGGGGGATAGGGTGGCAGTGGCGGGGACAGGCAGGACAGAGGACACAGAGAAGCCAGGCCAGAGCCGTTTCAGGCTCAGCAGACCCCGGGGAGCGGGGGTGTAAACTACACGTGACCCCAACTCTGGGGTCATAGTGGGTACCAGCCAGTCACCGACCAAAGGACCCCCAGGTGAAGCGGATCTAAATTCCAATCTTCCCAAGACGGTCACAGTGCTGGCCGTTGGATGCAAACGTAGAAGCCAGGCGTAGAGCATCCAGAAATGGAAAAAGAATTTTGAGGGCATCAGAGAGAGCCCCTCCAGTTGTGTTCATCACACATATTGAAACCCAGGCACAGGACAAGAAATAGGAATTTCAGATGAGTCCACAATTCCTAAGGCAGGCACTTGCAACTGCAGGCGCTGGTTATCAATAGAGCCGCTCCTCAGACAGGCGGGCAGGTCTTTGCAGCTGGCAGCAGCGGAGATGTGTGTACACTTGGCCGTGTTTTTACACAATGGCTGGTGATTCCCCTTCGCAGCTGCTGTGTAATCTCGTGTGCCTGCCAAGCTCGCCTCCGGCTGCCCTTGAGAGAGTGGGCGCAGGGCCACTCTGGGGGCGCCTCTGACCCGAGACACCTAACAAGTCTCTTTCTTACGCAACCTGTGTCAAAAGGAACCCCCCCCCCGCCTTTTTCTTTTTTCTCTCCAGACTGAGGGCTGGAGAGCCTGAGACAGTTCCCTTCCAGAAAACATCATCAAGGACTAGATTCTGAGATACAGACACTGTACAAGTGTCACGAAAACGGAGCTTAACTGGGACTGGAGGAATCAGGGAAGGTTTCTTGGAGGAGATGGGGCTTCCTCCTGGCCTTGAGAAATCAGTGGAATTCAGAGAGATGGAAGGGCATCCTGACAGAGGAAAACAAATTGGGCAGAGGCACGGAAGCAATGATATGAGCTTTTATGGCGCAAGCTGAAGACCAGCTTAGCGCAAATGAAAGATCATGGCACAAGAGGCGGACTGTTGGTCGCCCTGGGCCTGAAAACTGGGTCATGTCTTAAGCCGGCTCCCACTCTCGCTTCTTTCTGACTCTCTGCCCAATTCCCCACTCAGGCTCGCTTTCCATCAAGCTGTGATGTGTGCTGGGCCGTCCTCCTGATGAATACGTGCCAGGTTCCGTGAGTTGACAAGCTTTCAATACAAAGAAACAAATGATACAAGCCAGGACGAGAAGCGGAACAAAATAAAGAGGGCAGGGGTGGGGGGGGTTGGGACGGGGTTGGGGGGCTCGAGTGGGCAGCTTCCCAGAACAGGCCCGTTTCTGAGACTTTTTGGAAAAGGGGAAACCTGATGTGTTAATGAGGAGTCTGTGTCAGTAATGAGACGGCTCGGAGGAAGGTAATGAAGGGAACAAGAGGGGCCGCAGAGGGGCCGTTCGGGCCGGATGGAAGCGCGGGTGTGGGAGAGGGGAGGCGCTGTGTTCTTCTTCTCTGTCATTTTAAGCGTGTCTGCGCTCTGCTGGCTCCGTGAGGCAGGACTCAGCCGTTTGTGTGTTGTAAAGCCCCACAAATAAGGAGCTTTGGGTGTAAATAACATTGAGGTTTCTGCCCCCAGGACCCAATTCGGCCGGAAGCGCTGCAGCCTTACCAGCTCCAGCTGGTGGCGGATTTGGGCTTTTCTGAGCATATTCGGCTCAGAGAAACTGTCTGCCGAGATGGGCCAGCAGAAGGCTTAGGGACAGCCGGGCAGCGAGGCCCTGGGGCGCCCGTGATGACGGACGCACCCGTGGAGCCTACGCCTCCCCCTGGCTCCATCCACCCGCTGGAGGGGGTCTGAGCTCCAGCCCTGGACTCAGACGAGTTTCTAACCCTGGCTCTGTACTTGCTTGCACTGTGGTCGGATCTTCCCGCTGCTGAGCCTAGAAAAGAGTCTCTCTTCCACTCTACTGCCAGATCCATTTTCCAAAAGCAGAGCTTCAGAATTACCTTTCTGCTTACAGAACAGGCTCCTGACTGCTTAGCCAGGGGTCTGCTGCAGGCTCTGGGGACTTACTGAGTTAGTTACCCCTCTGATACCTCATTCTCTTCCACGAGGTAAGGGTGATGACAGTCACTGAATTGTTGAACTGCTGTGAGAATTCACGATAATCTTTATAAAGCACTTGGGACATAGTAAGTGCTCAGTTAATGTCCAGTTTTCATGATTGGCTAAGGGACTGCTTGGGTGCAGAACTAGCAGAAAGCTCTGTGATCCTGGGCAGATCTCTTGATTTCCCTGTGCCTCAGTTTCTTACCTGCAGAACAGAGCGATCGAGGGGATAAGATGAGTTCATGTCTCTAGGGCACTGAGCGCCTGGCGTTCAGTGAGACTTGGTTTGAGACTGTTGTACTATCGCCGTCAGCAGCAAGGCCATCATCACTGAGATGTGGGAGAAAAAAGGAGGACGTTGTGAACATGCGTATTGAAAACAGCCCCAGGTGGCCCCAAGGCGGAGGTGACGGAGTCCACGGAGGGACTGGACACGCCCCACCCTTCTCTGCAGAGGTTCGGGCCGGCCCTGCCAACCCCGGGGCGTTTATAACGAGAGAGGAGCTTCTGGAAAACCCAGGGTTTCCAGGCCTGTCTGGTTCTAATGCCAGGCTCCCTCCCATCCCAAGACAACTGGAAACGGGGCAAACCTTCCCACGTCAGCCTGTAATGAGTGTGGTGGTCCAGTGGGGAGCGCGTGCTCTCTGCTGTCGTGAGGGTCCCTCACGGGAAGTTCGTCATGTGGACCAGAGGGGCTGGGGTTGGGCCTCCCTGCTTTCCCTGCTGTCGGTCAGGGCTCACGTGCACCCACTGCGTGTCACACCCCTGAGGCTGTCAGACACATCCAATGCACCCCACACAGGCTAAGTCAGCATCATGATGGGGTTTGTAAGAGAGCTGGCGGGTGACCGTGGGGCACGAGTGAGCTTCCCTCTCCTGCACTAGCATCAAGAGAGCTAGGAACATGGGACTCTAGATAGGCCAGGGCATTCTTGCTGCCATGGTGAAGAGATTCTATCTGGGAGAAGTCTCACAAAGTCAAAAGATGAACCAACTCTTCATGTCCTTGCTTGAGCCCCCTGATACAGCCACACCTGAAGGCAGACACCCCGATACTTTCCAGGCGCTTGAGCCAACTAACTCCCTACAGCAACTAACTCCCTACAGCTGCATTTAAGTCGCTTGTGCTGTCTAATACAGTGCCTTTATTTGCAACCGTGAAAATTTTTCTTCACATACATGAAACTCATTTCTGTTAGGAATAATCAGATGAAAAAATAAGTTGTCAGGAGTCACCTGGGAGTGAGGAATAGAAAACAGATACGACAGGAGACAGAAAGGCACCGAAGCCTCAGGAGAGATCAAGGAAGCCGAGGGCAAGTAAAAAGGCTGGCGAGCAACCGGCCGGCGGAGGGTGAGCAGAGGCAGAGAACAGGGTTGCATCTAAGGGACAGAGAGCCGGGCCAGGCCCTGAGGCCGTCACGGACACGGACAAAGTCCCAAACGATCCTCCATGCGGTGGCGCAAACCTGGCAAGTCACTGTTCAGCTGTCATGAGCTAATTAAATAAAAATTACCTGAAGCATTCGATATCACAGAGGTCAGTGTGGGCTTGGATCCACGCAGCGCTGGGTTCAGGGCCAGCTTTGGGACTTTCTAGTTGAAGGATATTAGGGAAGTCATTGGACATCTGTGAACCTCAGTTTCCATTTCTGTACCACGGGGATAATAATGTGGTATTAATAATGTTAATTAATAATGTGGGATAATAACGCAGAATCTGGGCTTTCTTATGTAATACACAATGAAGCTACTATTTTATTCAAATTACTCTATACCCCCAGGACCTCAATAGGACATGAGAGAGCCCACCCACAGATCCATCCCCAAAAGCACAAAACACAGTGAATATGTGGATGAGGAACACAACATAGAAGAAAAAACTTTTTAGTATGCCTATTATCTGCAAGAAAAAAAGTGTTGATTTACAAGCATACCATTGTGAAACCATAGGGGAAGCAAATCTGAAAAATGTCCAGACAGTAAAATATGAAAAATGGTAAAGTATGCAATCCTCTTTATGTGTGATTTTAAATCTATTCATCATTATTCATGCTATTTTTATTTGTTTTGCCATATTCATTGTTCTGTTTAGTTACAAAATGTTTTAAGGCATTTGATAAGTCCTTCGTGTCATCAGGCGTGACACCCTTTCATCGTATTAGCTGCTTCGGGGCTCCAGCTCGCAGGCCCAACACAGAGTCGGGGCGGTGGCCTCCATTCTCCCGTCCCTGTCCCAGGACAGAGCAGCGGGCCTGAGGGCGGCCGAGCAGCAGCAGCAGTCAGTCACCAGAGCGGCAAGGAGCCAGGGTCCTCTGGGCTGACACTCGTGACGGTTAAGTCTCCGGTCTGGCCTAGGGCTGACCACAGAAACAGGACAATAGGAAGCACAGATAGATATCATAGACAGACAGACAGACCCATCTAGGTCCGTCTAAAAGGATATTATCTGTCTGCCATCTGTCTCTCTATGTCTGTCATCTGTCTATCCACTATCAATCACCGATCCAGCTAGCCATAGAGTAGGGGAAAGAGAGAGACTGAGAAAGAAAAACAGAGGCAGAGATAGATCACTTTTTACACTTTTATTTATTTTTTGGCCACACAGCACATGGGATCTCAGTTCTCTAACCAGGGATGGAACCCGCACCCCCTACATTGGAAACTCTCAACCACTGGACGGCCAGGGAAGTCCTAAGACAGCGAATGTTAAGAAATGGGTTTATATGATGACAGGCTGGCAAGTCCAAGACCCAGAGGGTAGGCCCAGAGGCTGGAGACCCAGGGAAGAGCTGCAGTGTGAGTCCAGAGACCAAACCTGCCCGCAGAATCCCCTCTCCTTCCAGGGAAGGCGGTCTTTTTTTTTTTTTTCCTATTAAAGCCTGCAACTGAGTAGATAGGGAGGTAATCTGCTTTATTCAAAAATCTACTGACTTAAATGTTAATCCTGCATAAAAATATCTTCACAGAAACATCTAGAATAGCATTCGACTGAATATCTGGGTGCCACGACCTACCCATATTGACACACGAAATTAACTGTCATACCTCCACAAATGGTTTTTGGAACACTTCCCAAATTGAGGCCCTGGATGTGTGTGTTTAGGGGGTGGGGGAGACATGAGTAGAGCTACTGCTGAGACAGCAAAACCCAATCCCTCATGTCCCCGTGTTTTGAGACTCCCTAAAATCTTCAGAGTGCGGGTGTTGGAAGGCCCAGAATGACAACTGGGAGCTCCAGGGATGGAGAGCTGGGTCTTTACATGAAAATGCGCGTATCTGCACCCACAGCCTGGTGAGGCCTGGGGACACTCGGGGTTCGGTTTCTTCCTGCCGAGGCAGGTCCTGAAGCCTCGTCTGTCCATCTTGATACCGGTGCCCAGCATACGCTGAGAAGGGTACAGGTATTCACTGAGTTTTCAGTGAACGTCTTCATAAATTCTGTGTGCCTGGTAGTGGCTTATTCGCTAGAGGGAAAGCTGGAATAGACACTATGATCCGTGTTGGCCCAGTGGTCCGTTTATGGGACGTTGGCAGCAGCCGCCTGCAGTGATAGAAGGCCCACCTGGCGGTCTCCACTCTCCCTCTGTCCATGGGCCTTAGGAGAATGTGCCATCCTCCCTTTCATGCGGTGTAACACTAGAAGTTTAGGCCAGATGATCTGGATGATTGCTTCCAGTTCTCACACCTACAATTCAGTAAAAGTATGCAGACAGCAAACAAACAGCAGGATGCGGTGTGGAGCTCACAGCCACGAAGGAGCCTCGGGGAAAGAGGACCGCTGACCCCGTCCCACCTTCTCTGCTTGACTTCAGAGCGGCTGCCTCTCTGAACGACCGGCCGAGTGAATTGATTCTTTACCATCTGGGAATTTCACTATCTTTTAGGGAACTGTTGGTTCTAGTGTTTAAAGCGATGTTGGCCTGGGTGGGAGGGACGTTCAGGAGAGAATGGACACTTGCATACGTGGGGCTCAGTCCCCCTGCTGCGCACCAGAGGCTGGACAGCGGTGGCAACTGGCCAAACTCCAGCGTGAAATCAACGTTCAGACGCAGCGGTCACTGCTCCCGGGCCCCTGCACCCGGCGGCCCTGTGGGCGTGCGGGCCGGGCTCGGGCCCCAGGACGAGCAGGACCTGAGAAGCACGCCTGCAACACGCAGTGTGGCGGGCACGGGCATGAGAACTGAAGGGGCAGGAGACAGCGAGGACAGTCCAGGGGGACGGGGTCCAAGGACGGACAGCAGTGAAAACCTCAACGTGGAGAGCGCCAGCCAGCAGGGAGGAGAAGCGGGGTGAGGGCCCGCCGGCTCCCCTCCGGAAGCTGCGGAGCACTGTCTGCCCGGAGGCAGTCGCAGGCGGGTCCATGTCAGGCAGCGCACCCTGCAGTGTCCTGGGACACGACTCAGGGGTTTGGGGTGCCGCGGGCAAGGGTGAGAGAAGAGAGTGCGGCAGGGCTGGGGTGGGCGCGGCAGCGGCTGACGGGAGAGCAGTGCCCTGAGTCCTCCCCGTGACCGTGACCGCGGGCACCGCCCCGGGCCCCGAGCCCTCCCCGTGACCGTGACCGCGGGCACCGCCCCGGGCCCCGAGCCCTCCCCGTGACCGAGACCGCGGGCGCCGCCCCGGGCCCCGAGCCCTCCCCGTGACCGTGACCGTGGGCACTGCCCCGGGCCCCGAGCCCTCCCCATGACCGTGACCGTGGGCAGCGCCCCAGGCCCTGAGCCCTTCCCGTGACCGTGACCTCGGCTTCT